TTGTGAAAAGGAGCTAAACATTAAGCAGATGTTTAGGTTTAAAACTGTTGCAGATAATATAGGGAAATGGCTGGGCCACCATTTCTTTTCAACAGCAGGGATGGATAATATGGTCCTCCAGTTCATGGCCATATTTGAATTTGGTCCTTGGCCCAGTTGAAGCAATTCACTTGTGATCTACATACATTTTCCCAGCTGCTCTCCACATACATGGAATTACAAACATATAAAGCACATAAAGTGAATGGATTACTGATTTGAAAATAAGGAGGTCTAAGTGAAGCTTTATAAGAGAGTACAGGCACTGTCTTTTCTCTCTCTTTGCTGTGAGAATTCCATTTAAAACTGTGTTCATTATTAAACATTCTGTACAGTAAGTGTCTGCTTTGAATAACTAAACGACTGAACACACACACACACAGTAAGTGTCTGCTTTGAATGCCTAGAATCTTGGAAAGCAAGCTGGCCTGCATTTAATATGCTTTTCAAAAGAGAGAAGGAAAAACTATGGTTACTCTGTTTTCATCAAGTTTAACAAAAATAAAATAAATAAAAATCTTTTAAGTGCTACTGTACCTTTTTATTTTTAGTTTTGTGTTTGGTTTGTGTTTTTCCCTCCTATATCTGTTGAAACAGATTTGTATGACTATCTCTTCAAAAACTGTTTCCATCAGGTATTCCTTAAGTGGTTTGAGATAGAGGAACAGTCAAGTGGATTAATACACAAAACAGCAAAGCAGTCTTGCTCGTTATATACCTCCATAGTTAGCATACTCTAATTTTGACAGGAATAATGAAATATTAGGACCTGACCTGACACAGCGGTAGACAGCAAGGTAATAAAACATTTTCTAGGTTACTTTTTCTGGAACAATATTTTTAAATAGTATTAAAACTGAACTTTATTCTTTTGCACAGCATAATGTAACCATAGAGGAGTGTGTACATTGTGAGGTGTTGCCACTTTCTCCTTTATTAGTGGCAGTAAAGTCTCAGGATGGCGAAGACTTTACCTGGGAAATTTTAAGTGGTTGGGAGTATAATTATTGGGCACTTTCTGTCTTTCTTAGTTGGTCTGTAGCCCATTAGGCAACCTTCAGTCTTGAGAGACTGTGGTAACATGCTCTGAATAGAGGACTTGGAACAGCGTCTAGTGTGGCTGAGAAGCCAATTCGAGAGTGACAATCCCTTCCACACTGAAGACAAATAGAATCTGTGCTCTGTCCAGCTCCCTGATTTTGCCGGTTTCGGAACTGCCTCTTTGCCTCATCCTGCTGGGAGAGGCCATGATGTATCAACTGCCTCCAAGCTGAGCACTCAGATGTCAAGGTTTCCCATCTGTTGAGGTCTGTTTCTAAGGCCTTCAAATTCCGCTTGCAGCTGTCCTTGTGTTGCCGCTGTGGTCTCCTTGTGGGGCGATTTCCTGCACTAATTCTCCATACAGGAGATCTTTTGGAATCTGACCGTCATCCATTCTCACAACATGCCTAAGCCAATGTAGACATCCCTGTGTCAGTAATGTATATATGCTAAAAGTAGAATCTAAAATGTGAAGGACAACAGGCAAGTGCTATTCAGCTGATTTATACTGTGAGAAACCAGCCTGCTCTTGTATTTGAGTGCATTGTAACTAATGAATGAATAGCTGTGATTGTTATTTAGGAAGATAGAGCTATCCATTGTCTAAAGAAGGAACTTCTAATTCATTTGATGGCCATTTTTGGTCTTCCTCCCTGGAGTGAAACAACTGCTGTCCCATACAAAACAATTCAAGATTTTAATGTAGCTCTGTTTCAGCAATAGTATCTACCATCATCACTTCCTGCCATATCCTCCTGAGTTGTGGACCATAAAAAATCCTGGGATTGCTCAGAACCATCCCCAACTGCCTTTTTGTGCTTTGCTTCAATCTGTTCTTTCTTATGTGTGGTATATGCACCTAATTAGAATGCAGTCCTAATATTTTCCATAGGAAATTCCATTTATTCCTGAGTAATATCTTGCATATTTTAAAGTGCTTTAAAATGGGTGACATTAAACATATTCATCCACATAGTAACTGACATTACAGATATTCATCCACATATATTTTTGACTTCACACAGATGAAATATTAAATCTAATCATATATACAAATACAGTGAGTACCTTCAGCTGTAATGATTAAACCAAGTACATACTTGGAAAATATACTTTGTGTCAAAGATTTCCACTGATTTTAAATAAATGCCAGTAAACAGATTGTGCTCATTAAAGATGATTGTGGCAAATTATAATAGAAAGCATATTTTGATGTTATGATACAAGGATGTCATGGTTCAGTATTTCAGTATTTGACCTGAGAAGGGGACTTAACAAATTCAAAAGCTAGCTTACATCTTTGTTGTTCTTTATTTTGTATTCCTGCATTGAGCAAAGGTTGGCAGCCTTATAGGGTCCTTCTAGCTCCATTATTCTACGATCCTACTTGGCTACACTATGCCTTGACTGCATGTGGATGTAGCAGTAAACTTGAACACTTCCCCTTTTCCTCTCCTCTGGCACAACCATAAGATAACAAATCCTTGGGTTATTTTTTTTTAAATTAACCACAGTCTAACATTGTATCTAAATCCTAATGTATAATTAATCTAAAATACAGTTTGTTGAAACAAACTGGTTTCCTAATCCATGGTTTGAAACTCACTTGTTTCAGTATTTGTTTCATGATTAAAATTAACCAGTTGATCTATGTTTGGATATAATCACAGGCTGCAATGGGAGAGTGGGGAGCATATGAGATTGAGGCTTTCTGTATGATTCATCATTACATCTGAACATGGACACTGTGTATATGCTTGGATTTAATATTTCATCTGTGTGAAATCCGATACGTATACAGTATTAATCTGTTTAACATCAGTTGAATTGCAATTGAGTTGACACATGGTAAAGCTAATGCTGTTGAGACCTAGCTACTCAACTGTTTTTATTTTTATATAAGGTTGTATTGTTTATATTTTACCAGTAGTAGTTAGAAAACAGTAAATAATTAAATTATTTGGAAGTTATGATTTGAGATAAAATGTGGAAAATACTGCAAGCAGCAGAGATAATAAATGAAAGAGAATAGTGAGAAAGAGATATCTGCTTCCTGGTGCAGAGAAAATGGATCTGTAACATTTTTTTCACATGCATATCTTTATAATTGTCACATGGCTGGAGCATTCTTCAGGACTTTGTGAAAGCCACAGCTTGTTTTCCTGCTGTTCACATGACTGATATGCTTTGATCTTATAAGCAAGGAAAGCAAAACATAAATTCCACAAAATGCATTATGAAATTTAGTATTTACTACAAAATTAGAATTTTCCAGGCAAAACTGTTGAGAAAATCATGGTTTTGTTCTACAATCCATAATGTAACCTTCTTTCTGTATATTGTCCTTTTATGGAACTTCACTTTTTCTACCATAAAATAATAATAATCTTAGAACTGCAGAGCTGGAAGGGACTCTATGGGTCATCAAGTCCGGCTGCTGTCAAGGAGGCACAGTGGGGAATCAAACTCCCAACTTCTGACTATGTAATCAGATGCCTCAGCCACTGAGCTATCCAGCAGTTCAAGATATGTTTTCCATTATAATATACCACCACCATCTTTTAAAATGCAGGGTTTATTGACTGGAATTTATTTAAAGTCAGTGGAAATCTTTGATATAGGTTATATTTGATAATAGAGAGTACTTTAAAATATGCAGGATATTACTCATGGATAACTTATATTTCCTGTGGCTAGTAGCAAAGGTGTAATGCAGATTCTACTAGATGACTTTCATTGTCAGAAGGTGAACAATCATTCAGAATCTTAAAAATTAAATTGGCAAGTAAATGAAAGCTGGAATTTCCCAAAGGCCAATGTTTTGTCCAACCCCCCCCCCCCCCCAAAAAAAATTCTCACTTGTCCTAGAGGCTAAATTAATGTGATTTTAAAATAATATGTACATGAGGAAGGTGTTTTGTTGATGAAGATTGCACACAGTGGAAAACACTTTATTTGTCTTTTCTGACAGTATTTTAATAGAATTAAATAGGGATGATCTGGTTTACTCATGTTTAAATATCCCGGTTGTTGACAGCTCAGTGCGTCAATTTTATTTCACCAAAAAGCATTCTGTTTGAATGAGTTTCAGACTGACTGAGCCTTTGTTCAAAAATGTCAAGGCATTATGTGATGACCCACTTACCCAGGTATAACATGCATGTGTGGTCAAGCTTCTGTATGTTTCTTATTTCAACATTCTGTTTATCCCCCCAGGAACCTGACTTATTTACCATTCATTTAATTCCTAGCTGAAAAGATGCAAGTTGAGACAATAGTATAGTAAGCCTTTAATCAAGGTAGCAGTGGGTCAGTAATTCTTTCTAGCTAGCTATTAGCCAAGTCATAGTGTTCTACTTCACAAAACTTTTAAATCTGAATATTTTGTTGCATTTGAACATGGACTTTAGGCTTATGTACTGATATTGAAGCACATCGTTCCTACTTTGGTATCGTGCTATGTAACAGCCAGACAACTTTCCCTGCAGTTGAATCCGTGATTAATTGAATCCTATTGTTAGTGCACTTGACAGAGAGAAAAAAATCAAAACAGTCTTGTGGTACATTAAGACTAACAGACTTAGTGTGACATCTGCTTTTTTAAAGTGAACTGGAATCTTTTTCTAAATAATTCTATTAACCTTATAGTGCCACAAGACTCTTTCCATTTTGGGTTATAATAACATGATATACCAGTAGCTCTTCTCTGGATTTTTTTTTTTTTGAGGGGGGGGAGTATTTCTGGGTTCTGAAGTCTTTGAACTTTTCTACTTTGGATATCAGAAAAACATTTTTGAAGATGCAATTGATTTTGTAATACTCAGCTTCTGAACCATGGCCAACTTAATAGTGTTCTGTAAAGATTTTCCAGTGGGAAGGCTGATGGGTTTATATTTTCTTTTCTTTTTTCTAAAAAAAAGGTACTTCCATTCCCTAGCCAAGTGGTGTACAACAGAGTTGGAAAATGCGGGAGTCGGACTGTGGTTTTGCTGTTAAGAATTCTTTCTGAGAGGCATGGGTTCAACTTGGTTACATCAGACATTCATAACAAAACTAGACTTACTAAGAATGAACAGGTAAGTTTATTTGTATCCTTCTGTATGTGTTAATCTTTGAATGTTCAATGAATTAAAACAACCATTCTCAACATTTTATTTTTATTAAAACTTTACAGAGACACCAGTTCTCTTGAAAAATTGACACTTAATCTGCAAAACTTAGTTCTGTGTATTATTTTTTTTGTCAGATCTCTACTTTGTATGTGTATATTCGCAACCCTGAAATGGACTGTGAAATTTTCCATTAAAAGATGCTGACATTGAAATCTTATATAACTAGCAATCATCCAAATATTTAAAAAGACACTGACATGCAACAACAGTCTGGAATTTAGAATCCCTAGGATCAAAGTAGACATACTGAAGAGACTGCATCTATGACTCAGTTAGGCTGAGGCATTAAGTGGGATTCTGGAGAGAGCTATTTGTAAAAGAGTTGAGCAGGAACTCTGAATGGGCAGAAACTTTCATTATGCAGTAGCCGGTTTATTGCACACACAGAGAAGGGAGTATATGTTTTTTTTACATTTATAAGGAGAAATATGCCTCTTTGCCTTCCTTCAGAAGGAAGATGTCACATACATGTTGCAACCTACAATCTAAAGACCAACAGGTGCTTCTGGGAACCTACAAACTTTGAGTATAACTTTGCAGGGGTCGTGTGTGTCAAGCATAAAATACTCCAATTAATTTCCCATTCATTCCATAGCAGTTGATGACAGCAACATACCATCAAGTTAATTCTGACTTACAGCAGCCCTTTTCAGTGTTTGCTAGGTAGAAAATACTTAGAAGTAGTTTATCATTCTCTACTTCTGGGGACAACCTGGGATTGTGCAGCTTCCTCAGGGCCACTTAGACTGGCTTGCCTTCCAGGAGGCACAGTGGGGAATTGAACTCACAATCTTTGGCTCCGTAGCCAGATAGCAAGCTCAGGGAGCTATCCAGCCAGCTTTATGACATATACATAGCAATACCTATGCTGCTATTTATTTATCTTATCATGCTGAAAACATTCAGTTACATGCTGAGTCAATAAAATATGTATTTTTTTACTTCCACCTAAGAAAGAAATTATATATTATTTGGATAAAACTGGAGTGTATTTGTAGTCTTCATGTAAATATGTAACCTTCCTCCCATCCCCTTATGGCCCATTGCTCTGCGCCACCATGTGGCAATTTTGAGAAAACACAATTTCATGTCATATTAAACTATTTTGTGTTTCCTTAGCATGAGATGTGAGGAGAAAGGATATAAAAAGCTTAGAATAGGCTACAATCCTAAATACACTTATGGGAAAACAAGCCCCACTGAACAGTGAACTTCTTTCTGAGTACTCATGCAGGATTGTGGTGTCCATGCATTAGTAGACTTTACTTTTGTAGTGTGAAAATTAAAATCTGTGCCGGATGTATGAAGAGAGATGTAAAATTTCTGAAAATTTCCATTTTTTCCAGAAAAAAAATCAGGGGGAATTCTTTTTGGAAAAAAAATGAACATTTCAGAAATTTTACGTCTCTAGGTATGAAAAGTTGTGCTCTTCAAATGTTTTGGTCTACATTTCCACAATCCCTTACCATTAACCATGCAAGTTAGGGATTCTTGGAGTTGAAGTCCCAAATATGTGGAGGGCTGACAGTTCCCTGTTCCTGATCTAATTCAGAGCAAAGGTGCACACCTTGTGGCCATGAACATGCTATTGGCCAGCACCTGTAGTCATCTTTCACCTTTAGCTATGCAGGCTAGGTTCAGTAAGAACTGCAGTTGAACACAAATTGCCCACCTTTAATTTGAAAATACATAGAGTTGCAGCATCTTGAAGCAGCTACACAGCAGCATGTGGAGTGCTTTTATAAAAAACAGTACTCTGCTTGTTATACAACTTTAGCAAAGCCCTGTAGTTGGCTTTCACACTGACATATCCAACGCACTAGGCTTAATAAAACTATTGCTCTCCCATAAACACATATTGTTAACTTTCCTATAATATATAGAAATAATAGAATAAATAGGCTTCAGAGAACCAAAGGAACTATAGGCAGGGTGATGTTATTTATTTATTTATTCATTTCCTTCCTTCCTTCCTTCATATATGTCCCACTCCTTCCTTCCTTCCTTCCTTCATGTATGTCCCAGTTTTCTACCAGTTCAGAGATTAAAGTTGGCATACAACAGCTAAAAAATGTGTATGTTTAAAACTACAATGAAGATATTAATATTAAAATGAAATTAAATCTAAACAATACTAAAGTCATAAGTTAAAAATTAAATTGAAACGTGTGATAATAATATGCTGCATTAGCTACTAAAAGCTCCAGTCTTGCCAGTTGTAAAAGGAAGGTTTTCACCTGCTGGCAGAAGGATTTAAAAAAGGGGCCACTCTAACCACATGTAAGACAGAATTCCATAGACTGAGAGCAGCTGTCAAAAATTGCTTGGCAGTCTCTTCATGAAAGCAGTGCACAAAAGCTAAGTACTGTACATAGTGACTTAAGTTTTAATTATCTATTTCTAAATGTATCCAAACTTGAATAGCCTTTTAAGCTGGTTTAATTATAATTGCCTGGACACCTACTTGCAAACAAGTCTCTTTGAATTTAATTTGCTTCTCAGGAAACACATATACAGTAATACCTCTCTCTTTTTTTAAATCAGCTGTTAATTGTTTCATAGAATCATAGAACCACTGATCAGCTGTTAATTGTTTCATAGAATCATACGTAGAACAACTGAGTTTGAAAAGGCCTATAAGGCCATCAAGTCCAGTCTCCTGCTCAATATAAGAATCAAAATGAAAGCATATTTGACAGATGGTTGTTCAATTTTCTTTTGAATTTCCATTTTGTGTGTTTATGTATATTGCCTACTGGGACAAATTGGTATATAGCTGCACTCACTAACTGTGGTTTCCATTTAAAGGCATGGTAAATAGTCTAGTTTCCCCTCAACAATCTGTAGTTCTTATATAGTGATTAGAATAATCTGAGGAGAGCAGAAGTCAGGAAATCGGAGCTGCAAATATGCCTGGAATTCTTTTGCAGGCATCCCACTTAAGGCTTTCAGGAGCCTGATGTATTACAGATACATAATTCCAAAAGCTACAGGGCACTGCTAAGACTTACAATGCACACTTTTTAAAACCCCGTGATCTTGCATAATGAAACATTAAAAATGCAAAATTAAAACCATTCTGGTTTGACAGAATGACTTAAAGCCAAATGTCTTAAAATAGGAGGAGAGGACTGGAAGAAACTAAAGTGAGAACTCAGACAATATCTGAGAAGTGACAACTTCTTGTTTTAATTGGATTGTTTTAACTGATGTTGGACAAAGAAACTAAAGTGAGAACTCAGACAATATATGAGAAGTGACAACTTCTTGTTTTAATTGATGTTGGACACGACCTGGAGACTCTTGCAGAGTGCGGGTGGTGTACAAGTCAAATAGATAAATAAATAAATAAACATCTTCAGAAATGTATTTGTTTTATTTGCACATACACTGATTAGGGCTATGTAATTAAAGCTATTGTACCTCACCTATTTTCAGCTGAAGTAATGAAACTCTAAATTAGTAAAATACAGCAAGTGTCATCTTTTTGACTGATGTTTTTCTCTTTTTTTCTGTACATATTCAAATATAGTGGTTGAATGTGAAGGTTTGCAACTCTCTTTAATTGATATTAGCATCAATCCCCAACCCAAGTGTGCAAAGTACGAGAAAATCACCTCTATTTCTTTGCAATATATACATATACACTCTGTGTGTGTGTGTGTGTGTGTGTGTGTGTGTGTGTGTGTGTGTGTGTGTGTGTGTGTGTGTGTGTGTATTCCCTACCAATCCACAGACAAATATGCTTTGCTGCACCATTTTCTCTTCAATATATATTCCTCCCCAGTACTCTTGCTGGATAATGGATAATGCTAGGTATAATTGATCAGTTTGTAGCTGAAACAAATCTTTCTTTTCAATTTTTCCTTTTAAAGGTTTCTATGTTTTTGTTTTTTTTAGATGGAGTTGATTAAAAATATAAGCACTGCTGAACAACCCTATTTATTCACTAGACATGTTCATTTCCTCAATTTCTCAAGGTAAGGAAGTTCACCTCAAGTGGTTTATATAGTATATTGAACTTAATAAGTAGTCGATTTATTGAATCTGTTCATTTTGAGTTGGCTACCACAATATGGGTGCACAAACAGATCTTGTGTTAGTTATATTTCTCCTCTGTGCTGACTGAACAATAGTAACATGGGAGTGACTCATTTGTTTATATATTGCATGATCTGGTACATCCTGCGGGCATACACCCACATATGCATACTGTAGCAGCACAGGATTGCACCACAAGGAAGTGAGGCAGCTGGAAAGATGTTATGCAGGGATTTACAATCCTTGTCGTACATGGATGAAGGAGAACATAAGAAGAGCCCTGCTGGATCAGGCCAAGGGCCCATCTGGTCCAGCTTCCTGTATCTCACAGTGGCCCCACCAGATGCCTCTGGGAGCACACAGGACAACTAGATACCTGTCTCTTGATTTTGTTGGAGTTCTTTTTTTGAAGTACCTTCCTTTTAAGACTGGAGATTATACATCCCCATGGCTTGTAACCTGTGATGGACATTTCCTCCAGAAATCTGTCCGATCCCCTTTTAAAGGCATCTAGCCCAGATGCCATCACCACATCCTGTGGCAAGGAGTTCCACAGACTAACAACATTCTGGGTGAAGAAATATTTTCTTTTGTCTGTTCTCAGTCTTCCAACAGTCAGTTGGAGTGGATGTCCCCTGTTCTTCACAATCCCTTCTGGTCTTCACCAACCGGAAAAGTTTCGTGTCATCTGCAAACTTGGCCACCTCACTGCTTATCCCTGTCTCCAGGTCATTTATGAAGAGGTTGAAAAGCACCGGTCCCAGGATAGATCCCTGGGGTACACTGCTCTTCACCTCTCTCCATTGTGAAAATTGTCTATTGACACCTATTTTCTGTTTTCCGGTTCTCAAACCAATTCTCATAAGAGGACCTGCCCCTGAATGTGGAGTTTTCTCAGCAGCCTTTGATGAGGGACTGTGTCAAATGCAAAATCCAGATAAACAATATCCACTGGTTCACCCGCACCTACATGCCTGTTGACCTTTTCAAAGAATTCTAAAAGGTTTGTGAGGCAAGGCTCACCCTTACAGATTTTCCCTCAACAAGGCTTGTTCTTCTGTGTGTTTTAAAATTTTATCTTGGTTGAGGCTTTCCACCATCTTCCGTGAAACAGCCTAACCAGCCTGTAGTTTCCCAGGTCCTCCCTCCTTCCCTTTTTAAAGATTGATGCGATGAGGTTCAGCAGAAGCATTTATTTGGATAAAACAAAAGGGTGGTTTTTTTAAGCCATACTATGTTCAGGCATGTCTTTGCAGTCGCATATATAATCTTCAAGCTTTCTCATAGTCATCATTTGAGTTTATAAATTGTCTAGCACAGAACTATATTGTATTAAGTAAAAATTATTTCTGCCAGAATTTCATTTGATTTTTATTTTCCTCTGCAAGTATAATTTAATATTGTAAAGTATTCACTGCTAACATTTTCTACTTCAGATACAATCTCTAGGAGGTTTCAGATAATAATCAGTGCTAAATATAACACAGTATTATGTTGGTTTTTTAAAGCAAATGAGAAGCAAGTCAGTGGTGGGAGCCTATAGACTTACACAAAATGGCATTTAAGGCTTGTGCAAGGGTATCTAGCAGTGGCCAGATTTGTGTGTCCTAAGGAGTGTAAGGGATTGTTCTCCTCTAAGACAAAATCTTAATTGTTGTTAAGCAGGAAAACCATGCCATCTATCAAATATGATATAAAACCAAACTATATCAGTTTAAATTCTATACAATACAACCCAAAATCAGCAAATAAATTTTACGGTTGTTCTTGTTCTTCGTAATCCATTTTCATCCAATCCTACTTTTTGACTGCGGAAGTCTGTGACCTTTCAAACAGGACTGTTTTAATTATTTTCCAGTAGATCAAGGGTGAAGTCTTGCAGTCCAGAAATTTTGGACCCCAGCTTCCAGAATTCCGAACTTGTATAGCTGATAGTAAAGGATTATGGGAGTTCTAGTCCAAAGAATCTGAAGCGCCAAAAGCTCCCAACCCATAATTTTGGTTGTTTAATATATGTGATTTCCCAGTTCAAAAATCTATATTAGATTAGCATTTCATTTACTGCCTTCCTACATTCTGATGTTCCAGTATTGTTTTTGAACTGTTCTTTGGTTTATTCATGTGAGTGCAAGCATTAGGACTGAAGTTACTTTAAATAGTCCTTTTTGTTTGGGAAAATGAAGCATTAATAGAAAGTTAATTAAAACAGAAAAGTTATCCATTTTGCTTTTTAACATTTAATGATTAATGTGATCATCTGTGGATATGGCATTGTACATTGCAGTGCAAAAGAATAGAAACAAAAGAGGCCACAGATGTTATGACATCAATTTTGACTACAGAAAGTAAAAGGGGAAAGGAGATGCAAGAGTAAGAAGCAGAGAGAGGAAGGAAGATTGGTGGAGAACTCAAATTCATCAAGCAAATGAATTGTTATTTCTTAATGGAAAATTCCTGAAGTGTGGGGGAAACCTAAATATGACTCAGCAGCAGATGTTCCTAAGAAACCTTCAGCAGTTCAATTCTGAATTGTACTTGAATCCTTCCAGCTAACAGTAGTGGAATTGTTCAATATGAGAATGATATTTCTAGGTCTCAAGTAATCTTGGTAGCTTTTATTCACAACATAAAAACTCCACAGTTAGATAAAAAGCTCTGAAACCTCTAACACCAGCTTTTTACAGAAGGTACTTTCTTGAATAATTGAACACAGAATAAGGAAGATTTTATAAAAGTCCAAGCATTTCAAAGTGGTGCAATAGCATCACTAGAAAAAAAGTATGTTCTTTTGTCTAATTTTTATAGTGAGATGAAAAATTTTAAAGACTGAAGAATCAGGGAAAGGCTATATAGTCCCCAAAAACAATACACACAGAGGAACAGATGATACCTTTATTGGACCCCTAAAGAAATAAAACAAAAACACAAGCTTTCAATGATGATTCATCTTCTTCAGGCTGTGCACCAAGTTCTTTTGGGTGGTTCCAAAATGATATACTTTTATTAAAGCATATCAGTGAAAGACTGAGACTTGTGAATGAGAAGTGTTTGTGAAATTACTGGAATAAGAAAAATGAAATGGAAAATATTTTTATGGAATGGGCGTAAGGCATTTCACCCCCTCAATTTTACTGTTCTTGATTATGGGCCTGCGCTGAGCTAGACAATAAAATTAACTGAACCATCAGAGTGCATTTAGGTAGGCTATAGCATACATACAGTTAAGTTTTAGAAATATGACAGGATGCTACATTCTAGTTCTCAACTTCTCCATCTGCTGAAAGTTCACCAAAAGTTGTTTGGTACCTGGGGTGGGGTAGGGTAGAAGGAATACAATAAATACTTTTAAACTGAAGCAATTACTGTAGTTGCCATGTGATGAAAATGTAAACATGGGAAGGGTGGAGAGTCCTGCAATGCAATATTTTTGTGTCATAGTGAAGTGATGTTATGCTTTGGAAAGATTATGAGAACTCCTGAGTTCATTGCTAATGTGAATAAAATTCTACTGTCCTTGATGCCAATGGGAGACTTGCCACTAACTGTGTTACAGCCAGAGTTCTATCCTGTTGCAGTAATTGTCCCTTCTATTAACTAACATTACACAGCAAACTCTGCATTTAACATACAGACATTTGGATATACTTTTGTGACCCTTCCTCTTCTTTTGGCCAGCAGACACTAAATAATGCCTTGTTCTTTTTAGATCTGATGCCAAGATTCCCTGAAACACACAATGCAATCCCTGAAATGAAACACAGTGGATTGTTCCCTAATCCTGTGGCATATATTTTGAGTGTGTGTGTGTGTGTGTGTGTGTGTGTGTTTGTTTGTTTGTTTGTTTCATACAATGCCCTATTAGTGCAAAAGCACTATTCTGGGTGGTTTAACAGATAAAATCCAAGCCCATTAAAAACACTCACAGTGTAAGAAACCTGATGGTGCAAAAATAATTTACAACGTAGCAGGACAGGAGATGGGTTTTTAAAATATATATATCAGAACAAAAATATTAACCTGGGTCAGTTTGAAAATAAAAGGTCTTATGTTTTCTTCTGAACATCAAAAGGGAAGGAGCCTCCAGGAAGCTGATTCCATAAAGATGGAGCCACTGCAAAGAAGGCCCTGCACGGAGGACTTTTGGGCCTCCCTCGGAATGGCCACTCAGAGGAGCCTGGTTTGGGAGAATCTGGTGGATTGGGCAGATGACATTAGGGTCAGACCAGTGCCTGCACCAATGCCCAGAGGGTACAAAGGCCATCAGGAGGCTTGGAGTGTGCTGCTGTCATTTTATTGATGGCATCCAGCTGTATTTTTTTCTTTCCAGAAATAGGTGAAATTATGCAGGTGCTGAATTGGTACCTGTGTATTATAATGGGTTGGATGAATTCTAGTAACCTGGATCGCAACAAGGTAAATGTTCTGTGAATTATTGACTTCCAAGTCCAAGTATTATGTAAAGAGCTTGCCTCTGATAGCATTGTACTACACTTGAAGGAAGAGATATATAGCTTCAGATTATTCCTGGATTCAGCTGAATCGGGGGAGGGGGTTCTAGTAGCTCAGCATGCCTTGGTCAGCTTTGGCTAGTCCGCCAGCTACAGTTGTTCCTAGATAGAGAGACACTGGCCACTGGAACTTCACATCTGTACAGTATGCACTTGTGAGACCCGAGGCAAGGCTATAGAAGCGCTCGCCGGAGTGTGGTCCTCCTTTAAGAGAGAAAAGGAGACCCAAACGGAATCTACAGCTCCCCATGTTGCAATCAGGCACCAGGGAATAGACACCTGTGACTTGGAACAGGGTTTGACGAGACTGTCGGTGGCCACCCAGACAGGACTAGAAAAGGCGGGAACAAGGGTGAAGGAGCAACCGTTGGTAGAGGCAGGACATGGGGATATAAAAGAGGAACGAGACAACATACCGGGGGAGTTGGGTA